CTGTCCTCACGACTATCAAGCTTTGCCCAGTGCTCCCAGGTTTCATTTGTTCCCCCAACTGATACCAGTCTACGATGAATAACAACTTTAAACTTTTCGTCGACACTTTCGGGACTAACATGAAAGTCGTTTCTGCAGTAGCTTTTGAAATTCTGTGCCATCCTTCTTTCTAAATTTAGAAAACAGAGGTGAATATTGTCTTCGTGAATGGAACATTACTACTTTAGAGATAATGATAGAAGTAGCTTATATATAGAAGTAACCGTGCTATGAGAAAAGAACGAACGAAATTGAGGATTTACTCAACCCCTCAGTATCAGAAGTTGAGACCTGTATTAGTTTCATTCTCAATCTCAACCAGACTGTATACAGATTAAGTGAAATAACCCAATGATTTTTAAAGTTATGTTCCTTATAGACTCACCTCATAAAGTGGTTGACAGCAGAAAGGGTAAACAAAGCAAAATACATGAGTAAAATCATTAGGAAATCCAGTTCTGATGTACACAACTCTTTCAATCAAAATGAAGACTTTTGATATACAGTTATATTTTCATATGCAAAAAAGTGAAAACGGAATATAAATGAAACCACTGGAAGAAGACTTTGTTTGCGGATTTATGTCTAAATATACAGAATTGACAGGTCAAATAGGAAAAGTTTTAATTCAAACTGAAAATCTAAAGGTTGAGATTAGAATTCTGTAGACTCCACTGCCCTCTCACCTCTGATATCAAGAGCTTTTTGTAGGATATAATTCAGATAGCTCCCTAATTATCTTGAATGTCTGTTCAAAAAAAGCGGATACATTTCTAAGACTAAAGGGATTTAAAAACGCTTATTCTCTGGAGAAAAGTGAAAAGATATTCAAGGATTTGATGTCAATCCGTGATGAATACCAAGTTGAAAAACCACCAAAAACCGTAAAATTAAATTGAACTAGTGTTCATTGATAACTAGCTTTTAGAGGTGATTCTTGAAGTTCCAATGAGAAGTCGTGACCACTAGAGTCAAACAAGTCAAACACGTTGACAGTTACTCAACGACAAAATTGGATGTAGGTCGTGATATATTGTGAAGTGACAGAAGTAGGAAATATGGACCATTGGATCCCGACCTAATGGCTCCAGTAGTGAAGTGGTGGTCACGGAACCTGAAGGTGTTGGATCTGACCCCTGGTTGTGCATGATTGTGGGTGGGCACTGGTGAGGAGTCCCATAGAAGTGGTATGAAATAGCTGACCAGTGCTTCGAGGTTTCCAATATTCCTCCAACTGATATCATTCCATGGTGAATATCAACTTGAAAAATCATTCGATCCCCACAAACCCCCAAATACCTTAGGACTGAAACGAAATTTAACATAACTGTCAAAGATCAACCCGATATAGATAGCGAAGTCAACAGACCAACTTGGGCAGTGAATAACTTCATTGCAAATCAAACTGTTACTAAAACAACATTTTTATAGTTTTTTTTATACATAAAGGGATAAACAGGAATATTCAATTGAGATCAGAGAGAGAAAACGTGGTAACTTTCAAGAAACTAGTGTGTCATCCATATGTAACGGATTTATCGTCTACAAGAACAACATATGTAGCATTGCGATCAATATGTGGTTGATTAAGCTGCGACTATCAAGCTTTTGCTTACAGAAGATACTAATATTCGTGGATAACCCCACAGCGTTAACTACGTCTCAGTTGGCAAGATACAGTTGACACCAGCTCACATATCTAAGGACAATAAATTATGTCGCAAACGTAATCAAATAAAGAATACTGTACCAGTCTGTAATAAATCATATAAATCAGTTAGAATGGAACCTCTCCAATTCAATTAGAATTGAATTAGCATGAAAGGTCCTGACTAGACAGCCAGTGTGAGGACGATCAAGTGATGGTAACGCGTCACGTATTCATATGTTAGTCGGGCAAAAACCCTCGGTGACTAAGGTGAAATAAGTTGGTAGAGCTCCAGGTAGGGAACCCGGGGGACACTTCCTCGAAGTTGATCATTGCATAATGTGTTGCTGGTTTGTAAGAAGTGGCCATACTTCATAGCATATCCATAATCTGTTCAAGATATATCTCACTAAGTTTGCACATGTAATAGCCTGTTGGATTAGTGGCAATATTTGTTTATAATGCATTCAAATGCAGTTCATCCGACCTAAACATTTTTCACTTCATATACATACACAAATTAACTGTATGCATAAAAGAGTATCTTTCCATCAAGCTAAACTGTAAACAGTTGAGACAAGCACTAGGTTTGTGATACTACTCTTTTTGTTGTCACACTGATCATAGCTCCATCAAGATAAAACTTTGTCTGCTATATCAGCACAATGCAAAAAGTGCTTTGGTAATAAATTGGCGACACTAAATCTAAAGTATTAATAAAGATACATAAAATATCAGTTTAACTTTTTGAGATAGCTGGGGTTTGGCAGACTTGTAGGTGAAATGAAAATGGTAGTCGAGGAAATCACTTGATGGCTGAAGTGAAATAAAGCCCTAGTGAACAGTCAGATTTGAAACCTGGTGGTTGTTGATTTGAATCCCATCACAGATCACATTTTTATTTTACCTTCAATTATCACCCAGTATAAATAGACAAAATAATCTTAATTTAAACGGTTGTTAGGATTGATTGGTATTCATCACGGACTGATATTAGTCGGAAAACCATCGGAAACCTGGGAGGACTAAACAACTGTCTCGTCCTATTATGGATCTCTTTAGCAATGAATACTCGTGACCCCATCAGGGATCAGACCTAGGACCTTCAGCTTTAATGGCCACCACGTTACTGTTGAACTAGTGGGTTGTATCCCAATAGTCAACAATTAACTACTTTCATCAATTTGCAATGTAACGCTACCTTTAACCAAAGCCATCCGACTGTAACCAGCGATTTTATCGTGGCTCGGTGGTGTAGTGGATAACGCGCTGGCATTTGAAGCGATCGCTCCTGAGTCCGAGTCCCGGTGGGAACAACATCACTAACTGGGAAGCAGGTACATCCAGCTGACGAGTCCCAAATGGGACGAAATGCGCATCCTGGATTCCACTGCTGGCCACTGCCCATCATTACTAAACATAGTTAAAAGATAGGAAATGTCGAGGCATCCGCCTAGGATCCTATATGCCAACAGACTGAATAATTCGGTCCAATCAACGACGGTGTAACACTAAAACTTACTTTTATTATCAAGTTGACATCATTTTTATAGTCACTGGAGACTCATGAACAAATTAGAGGTGTTTTAATAAAGCACAGAATTTCTAAATAGTTCAAGTTCTTTCCACCTGCTTATCTGATAAAATAAAGCTAACTGCGCCAAGATCATTGCAACAAATTTCCACAATTATACGCTTTGAAAACTACATGATCGCACACTACCAAGCGAAAACTTATACTAGAAAAAGTTACTGCCGAAATTTGACTGGGAATTGCCGATGGATACAAAATTATATCCTGAACTTTATGCCACTGAACAAAGCTCATCACCGAATTCATCCATTTTTACTTTAAAATTGAGTGAATGAAACCCAGTTCGAATAGAATGGAATTATCTAATAAATAATAAATACTTAGTTCAAACAAGAATACCACTTATAAATGTGAACATATGAAACTTCCTCTGAATACGTTTCTTCAGTAATTTTTTTAATATCCCCTATAATGACGAACGTAAGTATATTACTTAACATAAAATCAAAGTAATGCATAGATTTATCAACTTATTACCACTTTGGGAAATTGTTTTTTTAATTTATTATCTTTGTCTATCTTTTATTTCCTAAATAAAATTTTTGGGAGAAGATATTTTCCCCAACCATAATGAGAAGAGAAACTGGAAACTGTTAATATTCCACTTTATGACCACAATCTTATCTTTCCATATGGTAGAGAATTTCGACAATCATCAATATATCAGTAAACATTTTGAAGAAACTGATGTTAAGAAACAATTTTAAGGAGTTAAATTTCAAAAGCATGCCACTGTGTCAAAAAGATAAAACATATAGGCAAACTATATGGCTTACAAGTCCTTCATCTAACTAGGCAACTACAAGCGGCACAGACGAGGATGTCAAAACCAGGATCGGAAAAACAAGACAAACTTGTATGGAGATCTATTGCACTCCACTCAGCACAAAGAACAAAATTCGGATTTTCAACACTAATGTCAAGTCAGCGCTGCTATATGGTTCAGAAACTTGACAAGTCATGAAAAACACTTCCAACAAACTACAGACATGCATCATCAACAGCTACCGCCTACGCCCACTCGTTACTCAAGATCAAATGGCCAGAAAGAATAAGCAACAAGGAACTCTGGGAACGAACCAACCAAGAACCTATCACTGAACAAATATGCACTGGAAGGAAGTGGAGATGGACTGAGCATACACTGAAAAGGCCGATTGGGGACATCGCGCACTAGGTAAGGCCCTCGAATGGAATCCAAGGGGGAAATGACGAGTTGGACGTCGGTGCCGAGTGTGACATGGAGGAGATCGTATGAGGAAGAAATGAAAGCTTGTGGGCAATGGTAGAGCCAGGTTCAAAAGACTACAGAGAAGAGAGTGCAATGGAGGCGTGCTACCTACGCCTTACATTCCACTAGGAACCCAAGGCACTCATAATAATAATAATAATATGGCTTACAAGAGAAAATAGGAAAGTGCAAACAGTCAAGGAATATTTATATAGTTTTTAATGTCTACTAAATAATATTAGGAAGATGACGGTAACGTTCAGTTAGTTTATTCTGATCACTTATCTCTTTTGTTTTATATGTGTAATTTGTCTCAAGTGTATATACTTCCTTCCATATCGAAATAACATAATGTAGTGTAACTGGTGAATAACTTGGCATATAAGAGTACAAATAGATCATTTTAAGTTGAAATAAAAGTTATTGATACTAGTTCCAGATATCTATCTTATGACAAGCTTGAATCTGAATGAAATGATCCATATTCTTTAAGGTATTGACAAATATTTGTCATTAGAACTTAGTTGAATAGGACTAATAGATGGAAGTAAGAAACTGTCAACTTTATTTCCATTATTGTGAACACTTGAAGTTATATTCATTATATTATGAGAATAAGAATTTCTTGGAGGTGAATTTTCTCTCCACAATGATAACAATCCAAGAAAACTTGGTTGAATTGAAGGGAACTGAGTTGTTAATTTTCTATCAGAAATGATATCTATTGATTTATTCTCTGATGTTTCATTTAAAACTAAACTATTATAATGATTAGATGAATTTAAAGTTGGAAGTTTAGGTGGATATTCTGTTTCAGGTGTTCTCAATTCATCAAGATGACGTCGTACAATCAGTTGACTTTTCTTTTCAGAATTAGAAGTTTCAGAGAATGAAAGATTTGACTTTATATTGTTTACGTCATTAATTTTTTCATTTTGTTTTAATTTAATCTTTTCAGCAATTAGATCAATTTTTGCTTTACGATAAACACTTCTCTTACTTGTAATATTTAATACAATTAAATCACATAACACAGTAGCTATACCAAGAAGTGCTAAACCAGAGCCTAAATTCATTGAAAATGTAAGTATATCAAATTTACCTCCAGTTCCATAGACTGTTATAAAAAATTGTATCCCATATGCTTTAATCATATTACGTTTACGCTTTCCACCATCAAGATAATGATGACTGAAACGAAAATTCCATCCTTTAGCTACATTCAATTGAAAGTCATCAAATTGACGAAATATATACTTTGGTAGACAATATTCTTCATCAAAATCTAAGTTACAATTCCATTCAATGTGAATAGATACCATACCTCCAGTCTCCCAGATGTCTTTATTAACTGAACCAGAATATTTCAATATATCACCAAGACGAAAAATGGGACAATATTTAAGTATTTTATCATTTGGATTATATAAACAAGTTTTTAAGAATAAACGACTCATCCAACTTAAAATATTTCTTCTTTTCACACGAAAACGCGGAAATTCAATATTATTTTTTATCATTACAGTGAAATTTTCAGCTGATCCAAGTAAATGAGGTCTAGGAATAATATCATGCTCTGTAGGACACCATCCATATATTTCACAGACACTTAAGTTTGCTTGTCTTGTAGAATTTACACACCGTCCAGTTTGTATTCCACTACCTCGTAGAACTAAATGTCCAGCTTGACATTGTGAATCATTGTAACAACTGTTTCCAAGTACATCATGTGCTTCTTCACAAACTCCTAACATTTGTCCTGATGTATAAACAACATTTGTCATCACAAAGAATGCGGAGTTCTGTTGTGGTGGTATAACATAATCCCCTGCATCCCAAACTCTAGCCCCAATCTCTGGATTATTTGTCACATTGGCAAATGCTACACCTTTCAATTTTGCCGTTACTCCACTCACTGCTTGATCGAATGATTGATAACCTTTTTCATAAACCATAACCCAAAGAATCACATACATGATTATTCCCAATTGTATAAGTCTGAATGTGATACCAATTTTTTTCGAATGAATTTGTACTACTTTCTGGGTTTCATATTCAATTAATCCCTTAATACAATAATCCAGAACTCCGCTAATTTGACTCATGAATATTTTTCAAAAAGTTTAAAATTTGTGATGGTTTAGTATAAAACTCAGTGTCTAGTTATATGATGAAGGTTTTAAAAGTTCAGTTATATACATGTGTATACATGAGTTGATTCACACGATACATCACATTTACTCTATTGGTTAAAATGGACACGAAAATGGTATTTCATTCTTTTCTGACTAGAAAGGAGTTTATACTGTCAGTAGATAGTAGATAGAGTTGCTGTGACATGAATCAAATGGTAACTGAATGAGCGAACAAATAGGAATAGCTATCGGTTTGTTAATTACCTCTTCAATATTATGAAAGTAGTAATACTGAAATACTTTTCGCATTTCCTGATACCATCTAACACAGAACTACAAATAAATTCGACTATAGTGTTAATTTTCATTATTACTAAAATAAAGCAAAATGCTCAAATGATTCCAGATTATAAGTTAGTAGAATTATCATTCGAGTGCACATTGTTTTTTTAGTCTTTTGTGTTAGCTACTGTCAAACTGAGTAGGAAGCATCAGAGAAGAGAGAATATATAGCTAACTAATAGACTTTTATGTTTTTGAAACAAAATTCTCTGACAGAAATGTTACACTATATGTTAAAGTGTTTCATGAAAACAATGATTTGACAACTCGTATCAAGCAAGTTACAAAAGAGTGAAAATGAATAGGCTTTTATAACCTGAAGCATTCATTTAATGCTTCAGAACTACAATATGAAGTGCAATTTAGCCTAGTAAATGATAAATAATTCTTAATATGAATGTTAGCCACTAAGTGTGACATATTGGTTCAGTGAAAACTCCACAAAATGAATGATTTTATGAAATGGGTTCATGTCTCAGTGGAAATACCATCACTCACTGGGGTCAGGATACCTATAGGTGATAGGTCAGTCTCAAACAGAATGAAAGGCGAGTCTTCAATCCCACCGCTAGTCATCATATAAACTATAAGATAATGTAACAAGTCTATCTCATTCTAATATATAGCAGTAAAAAGACTATATAAAAGTGTAATTATGTGACTCAAATGGTTCTGAATTGTCCGTCTATATGGACTTTTTCTGTATAGAGATTATTAAACTACTATTCCTGCACTAGATTGACACATTTTTTAAGCACTCGCATTCCTACAAACAGAAAATGAACTGTAATCTCAATGTTATGTCCACTCGATTCAGTAGAATATATCATGCAAACGTAAACACACACTTTCTAGGAAATCGGTTTCAGTTATTATGGTATATACAAAGGTAATGTATAGAATAAGAGTAATATGTCTGAAAGACTACCTCATTATTATATTATTATTTGTCCCTTGGGTTCCTAATGGAAACTTTTGGTCTTCAGTAGCACGTCTCCATTTCACTGTTTTCTCTCCAGTCTATTCAACCTGGCTCCACCACTGCCCACAAGCTTTCATTTCTTCCTCATACGATCTTTTTTATGTCACCCTCGTGCACCCAACCCGCAGTTTCTCCTTTGGGTTCCACTTGAGGGCCTGATGAGTGATGTCCGCAAACGGTTTTCTCAGTATGTGCCCAATCCATCTCCACTTTCTTCTGCATATTTGTTGGGCAATGAGTTCTTGGTTGGTTCGTTGCCAGACCAAAGTTCCTTGTTCCTTATTCTTTCTGGTCATCTGATCTCCAGTATCGAGAGTAGGCAGCCATATAAAGACTACCTTAACGACCACTGAAAAAACCCGATTGGCTATTAGAATGGTTGTTCGAGTCATGTGTATACGAATAATTCATACAGATGACAGATGTTTGACTCTATCAGTAAAAGAAATCAAATTATGTACGATATATCAAATCTACCGTCTTAACTTTGAATAATGCTTTTTTGACATGCAGTCTGAAGTCATTGTAGCTTATCTTAACGACTAAATGTCAAAAGTATGAATGAGAACCTCACCGAGTGTTTACATCAGCATATTCACATATGCAAACTTCGAGGATATGGTTAAGTGAAACACTTCCCATCGTCCGAGTACTATCTCACTACATTTGTATCCTTCTGTAGAATCTTTACAGTGACACCTCCCGCTGACCTCAAATTACATATCATCTATACCTTGCATCTATATTCATCTTCTTATTCCTTTGTTTTTTTTTAATGATAAATGTAATACTCTGTCCAATGTCTTCCTCATTGTAACAGAAGACTTTCCATATACTGATGCACAAATCCTCCTATGTAATCATCAAGAATCATCTTACACTTTCATTGATGCATTTGCAGACTGCCGAAATGTAATCAAATACTATTTATGTCAGCAGAGTTGTGTAAACCTGGTCATTCTGGACCAACCGAATTTGATTGATAGATTGCTCAAGGTCAGTATGCTTGTTGATCGCTGACTGACCTGAATGCAAAGCTTCTAATAATCCTCTGGCACTTTTTGTACTTCCTACATCCAGGATTTCTACATTTTGTTGATCAAACTTATGTCCGAAATTGATTTAAACTAAGATATGTCATGACTCTTCACTTTTAGTAGAAGGATTATAACAGGGCGACAACCCTCTCCAATAAAGTGTTTTTTACAGTTTTTTCATGAGTGCCTACGTTGGCATGTTTCCACAAATGTGTTTATGATTTTAGCAGTGATGGATAGTGGCTGGCAATGGAATCCAGGATGCAGACTTTGTCCTAGATGGGACTCGTCAGCTGGATGTACCTGCCTCCCAGTGAGTGACGTCGTTTCCACCGGGATTCGGAGCAATTATACTGAAACTATACCGGTTGCACAAAAAGTGGCTATCGTGGCTCAGTGGTCTAGTGGATAACGCTCTGACGTTTGAAGCGATCGGTCCCGAGTTCGGGTCCCGATGGGAATAACATTACTCACTGTGAGGCAGGTACATCCAGCTGACGAGTCCCATCTAGGACAAAATCTGCATCCTGGATTCCACTACTAGCCACTATCCATCATTACCGCAATTAAAACACAGAAAATATCGAGGAATCCATACAAGAGCCCCTATGTCAATAAAGATTAGTCAATTCGTTCCAACCAACGACAGTAATAATACGACCAACTATACAAGTGTTTATGATTTTGCCTAGAATAAAAAAACAATTCACAAATAAACGACTCAGCTCAAAGAACATCACAGCATCAAAGTTGTTCTTCTAAGTTGCATATATTCCCCCTCAGATCATAGATTCAGTCACTTCTTTTGTACAACGGGATTTGTAACTACCTACCACTACAATAAGATCAGATAGCACACATTTAAAGTATTGAAATTAGGTATATGTAATAAGACTGAACTGAATATCCATCCGCTGAGAAAATTATGACACGTTTTAGTTTCATGCAGCAATTAACATGAGGTTCAGATAAATTAGTAAACTGACTGATTTCTACTGCAGATCAAATGAATGACATAAATGTTAGCTGAATGAAGGCACTTGGCAGGAAGCCCTGGAAGTGATGTTCCTCCTGAGATTCGAGGTTGCAGATACTCCTTACTGGTGGGTATCAAAAGGCGCGAAATCTAGATCTACAATCTCATACTGATGGCGTCCATTCAACTAACATCTGTCTCAGTACATCGCGATGGTGTATCTCCTAGTCTGGTGGTTGTATTGCAAAATGATCGGTAGGATTTGATCAACACTTTGGAATAGACAATATGAAGTTGGTTACTATCCAGTGACTAATCACTATTGAATGACAAAAAATTTCTTCTCTCTGTTGAATTAATGCACAAATTATAAATTTGCTATTTTATACATTTACACTTTTCCAAATATCTGTTCATACCATTCTTTTCAGGCTTTTATATGCATCTTTTCATATTTCTTGTAAAAGTGTTTAGAAAATCTATTATACGACACTTCTAGATACTAATGCGATCGAAAAATACTGAACGCATGCGCTACTGTGTAATTCTTAGTTTCAGTTGTTAATCGTGCACATTTTTAAGCAGAGAATACCATCAGCACCATTTCTTTCATCATCTATGCCTTATGCAATAAAAATATACTAAAAAGGGATGAAAATGTTACCAATCTTCAAGAATGATGTCTATGGTTGATTTGGATTCTTCGAACACAACTTTTCTTTGTGCATACCATATACGGCTCTTGAAATTAACAATAAACTAACTTCTTAAATCTGTCTGTTGTTATGTCCATTGAATAACTGAATTTATTTTCAAGACAGAATACACAGAACTCATATTGTTTATAACACTTGAGATAACAAGTAACAGATGCTGTTCTGGCCGTTAACCCTATGACCTTCTGTGTAGGGATTACTGAGGAGTAAATAGGCTATACTAATCTTTCTTAGAATTTCATTAGAAAATTTACTTCTTTGCACTGAATCAGTCTTGCATCTAATTGGTTTAAGCGATATGGTACCTTGAAATAAAGTAAGCTATATTGTTCAGGTGTTCTGGTGACTATGAAATAACAGGTGATTTTCTTTAAAATAGATTTCTTCGTCCCTTATCTTAAAATTAGAGGTTTTCAAGGACCTGCATGTCTACACCGTTAGATTATTAACAGTTATAAAAAGTTGTATCTAGAATTTTTAGGAGACTCTCCTACTCTGAAGTTCCAATGAATATTTTAGCAAAGCTAGAGAAACAAGTTTAACAGAATGCGGTGAATTCATTGTATTTCGCCGCCTCCTCTTCAACTGCATATAGAATATACTTTTATAAGATACTTATGGAAAAAAATTCTCATAATTCACGTAACAAGAGGACGATAGTCCATTGATGACATGATGAAAGAATTGATACGGATTAGGGACGTTTCAGTGAAAAAAATTTTCTCATTTGACTGTCTGAGATAGCGTAGTTTGACAGACTAGTATTTTTACTCGGTGATGATTGAAGGTGCAATGAAAATCCGGCCTCAGTTAAGATTTTCATCCCACCTTCAATCATCATTCAGTAGAAATAATTTTCGACTATTAAAACTGGAGTTAGCTTGCGTTTATATAATCAAATTGTCATCCTACTATAT